GAGCATGACATGAATAGAAGAGATCCCTGGGTGGATCGAGAACGCGTCTCAGCTTCTTATAATGTGCATGACGGATTGTAAGAAGCTGAAAAAAGTATATCATCAAGCATATATAATCAGAAACATTCTTGAACAACTCGTTTATCAGGCTGTGAACTTGACTCTGGATTCCTTTTCTTCTTTTAATGCATTGTTGCATTTGAAAGTTATCATTATTTTATTCAAATCCTAGAAGAAATAGTGAAGCAAATAGTCTTAGTATTTCTTCTCTCCAGAAGGATTCTCCAGAAGGATGGTTCTTGATGTCGCATGTTTATTGGAGAAAACAAATAATTCAAAACTTTATATCAATTTTGTAGCGCAAAAAAAAAAATTTATATCAAATTGTTATTTTGGTTGGTGTATGTAGCTCAACGAATAAATACCTATCAACGCACATCGACGCGTGAGAGGTCGGATATGTCTCTGACCAAGGGATTTCATTCCTTAAAAGTTGTCACAGAATGATAAGGATGGACATATGTCAACCTCTGATCGAATAAAAGCTACTCTCCTCGAATCTTTTGTGATAAGAGTATACATTGGATTTGTGACGGAAAAAAAAAAGAGTATACACTGGATTTTAAAGAAAGAAAATATATTTTTTTTTCCAACGTTTTGCGAGTGTGTATTCAACACTTTCAACTATTCTATTTTGTAAACTGTGAAATCTCATGATTTTTACAAATACTCGTATAAAAATGCTAACTAGCTAGACCGTTTAAAAGAAAAAAAATGCTAACTAGACCAAAATCCTATCTATTGTGCGAACTATTATATTCTAAAGATCATCTACATAACATACGTATCTATATACTCTAACATTGATCAATTCCTCGCATCTAGTGAATCACACTTTCAAACCATGCGCTAGTTATAGCACTTAAGTTTTCAACAACCAATAATTTCTGCTATTTGCGTCGAAAAATAAACTCTAAACATAAAATGTTTGATATTTACACAAACGAGTTACATTTGCAACACATCTAGTATTTAATTTTAGCAAAGAATGTCGAACGCGTGTTTCATACGCAATATATATCCTACAAAAATGTTGATTAACTACGAAAAAATTAATTACTTAGCAAAGAATGTTGACCGCGTGCTTTATACGAAATATATATCCTAAAAGTATGTTGACTAACTACGGAAAAATTAATTACTGTTTATCTAAACAAGTTATTTTTTTTGTTATATAACGTACAAATTGACCCTTCACCAAAAACCCTAAATCACATTTCTTCTCCTAACTCTTCCGCCACCCTTATTGCTTAAACCATGCTTCCTTCTCACAGACTGAACAAAATTTCTCTTCATCTTTCACCTGATGATTCTTCCCGGCCTCGCTCTTTACTACCTGGTTTGAAAGAAGCACTTGTATATGCAACTCCTGAACAGCAAAGAACTGTAAACTTGATTTTCTTTTTGCCATAGATGTGGTTATTTTTTTA